AGGGGCTGGTGTGGGGGGGCTGGTGTGGGGGGGCTGGTGTGGGGGGGGGGCTGGTGTGGGGGGGGGTTGGTGTGGGGGGGGGTTGGTGTGGGGGGGGATGGTGTGGGGGGGGGGGTGTGTGTGGGGGGGGTTGGTGTGGGGGGGGTTGGTGTGGGGGGGGGGATGGTGTGGGGGGGGGCTGGGTGGGGGAGGGGCTGGTGTGGGGGGAGGGCTGGTGTGGGGGGGCTGGTGTGGGGGGAAGGGGCTGGTGTGGGGGGGAGGGGCTGGTGTGGGGGGGGGGCTGGTGTTGGAGGACTGGTGTTGGAGGACTGGGGGGGATGTCTGACTGACGATGGAGTTGGCGCCGCCCCTGAGGCTGAGTGACAGCTCGGGGCGGGCGGGCGGGCGGGTCGGGTCGCCATGGTAACGGCGCCACTCCGCATTTCACATCCGCCGCTTAAACTCTCCAGTCATGATCTCCGGGCAGCAGATTTCCCTCTGAGACGGCGCCTCCTCTCACAGCTGTGCAGCTGTGTGTTTGAGGGGCTCGGCAGCGCTGGGCGGTTGGAAGCCGCAACACCGCCCATCAACTCCTCCTCCGCCTCCTCGCCCATAACGGGACGTGGGGGCCTGCGCTCCAGTGCGCACGCGCAGCAAGCTCCTCTGTCACCTGAGCGGCCGCGGGGCTCGCCGGGAGCTGTAGTCCGTTCGCTGTCACTTCCCGCCTGGGAGGCAAAGCGAGCCTCGGGCGGCCGGCCTACAAGTCCCAGCATGCACCGCGGCCCGCGGTCACTCAGCTGCAGGGGATGGGGCGCAAATGCCGCAGCAGCAGCAGCGCGTCCACCCGCACCGCCGCCGGGAAACAACTTAACCAAAGTTACAACTTTTCACTCCTCCCCCACTCCGCGCGCGCACACACATATATATATATACTAACATACAATCCAGCCAAAAAAAGTGAGTATTTTATCCAACCAGAAGCTCACCGTTGCCTGCAGGAGTTTAACAGAGGATGAGCTTTTCATCTGCAAAAACAATCCCTTGGAAAGAAAACTGAGCATTAAAGCGTTTTTTTTAACAAAAAAGCACATCTCGGAGTTTGCTCGGAGACCTTGATGGGGGTTAGTCAGGAGTGAAGACCGGCTGCACGCAAATCAAATGGTAAATGGTGGTCCCCGTTGTTCTTTTCCAATGCGGTGACCTGCAGTTGTCGGTTCCGAAACCTGTTGTTTCCTAAACACATCAGATAGGAACATGGCCCGAGTCGGCGGTCATCGTCGCTCCTGGTCTCGTCGCTTCAGCCTGAAGTTCCAGGGACTGCTGTGTGTTTATCGCGGCTCCACACTGTCCGCATTTCCTTCAGACGAGGGCACACGTGAACATGAATTGGATTTGATCACTGTGCGGAACCAGTTGCAGCCAAACCCCCGGTTCAGCATTCCCCCCCCGACTCCAGTCAGGTTCAGTCATTTGGGAAATGACGAAGGGATGGAGGTAGTATCGCTTGCATTGCCATCTCCCCCCCCCCCACACCTGCATAAAAGTTAGAAGTAATAGAAGTGATGCTGCTTTAGGAAACTTCAGCTTTTCGTCAATATAAACTCAAATTGTGCAACGTCTGTAGTTAAAAGTGATCGCACAAAAGTCGCCAGAAAACTGCGCTCTGTATCAGATTCGATCCGGTCCTTCACTGATCCCAATGAAGCGGTTTAAATGAAAGACCTGCAATGTGACTCTTGAATGTGACTATTTCAAAGCCAAGTCCGGGTTCGTTGGCCCCTCTTAACATCCAGAGTAACGTCTTTACATTTATACCCCCGGAGTTATGGAAGAAGCGGTGACAACTCAAATTATCCATCGCATTGGATGTTCTGACCCATACACTATTGTCAGTATTATTTTCACTACTGATTGATCCACTCTTCAATAAGTTAGTGATTGCCGTGTCCGAAGCCCCTCGACATGCCCCGTCATGATGCATTTCTAAAGGGGCAAAACATCTTTCTGTCCTCCACTAATATCCCGTGTTTCCAGCTTCCCCTCAGATCGCTGTTCGTGCTGCTGGTATTTGGTAGGTGTTCCTCTGCCTCCTTTACCACCAACAAGGACAGTATGCGGGGCTCTGTTGTCTCTCTTTTTGTTTCTTTTTCACACGAATACTCTCTTCCATTTATCATCCCACCTTACCAATGTTCATGCCAATGGGAACAGGAACATTTGGACCGTGGATCCTGCGCTGCCATTTTTATACTTAATAGAAGCTTTTTCCCCCCCAAAAAGTCAAATGTCCTTGACTTTTCTCTCTATCCTTAGTGCACTTACTTCTGGACTATCTATTATGTGTTAATAAATGAATACTTCAGTTTATTTCTCTTTGTGTTGTCCAGACAAGTACATTCTCACAACCTTTCATTTAAGATTCCACTCGGGGATCATGATTTCCTTTATATTGCACATCCTCAGAGCTTCACCCTACCCATCAACGATAGAATTGTTAAACCTTCATCTCCATCAGTAGGCAATAATATTTTTTCTTATTTTTTTTCGAAAACAGTCCCCCTTCCTCCTGTGTCTCACTGGCTTAAGACACAGCTACCACTTCATGCTCCGGATGTCACTAACTTCCAGTTTACTTGTGCAAACAGATCCAGAGGATTCCTTCGAGTAAACACCAGTGTTTGGCATCACCGTTCACTGGACAAATCATACAGTTCTGTGACTCAGTCCCAGGAGCAAAGATTGAAAGGTTTTTGGAAGGGCAGCACTGTCAATAAGTTGTAACTTGATTTGTTTTGGTCCGCCGAGTGTCTGACACAAGTGGAAACGCATCACCATGCATTTAAGAGTATCCAAATCAAACTGATTTCTAGATGGTGTGTTTTACAACAGTGCTCAAGAAAGGATGAATGAGGTGATAAACTGTTACAACATAGAAAACGGCTTATTCAGCGCATCGGGTCTTTGCTGCTCTTTTTCTCTTCCAAGTGGAGCACCTTTTGATATAACGGTTCAACGGCTCCTCCCATGTACTTGTGTGTGTAAATATTCACCTTCCAAAGAGTACACGACGTTTCAGTATATGTTTGCTTTTTATTGCCGTTATATTAAAAAAAACTCTAAAAACATTTTCAGATTAAAAAAAAACTATTTGAATTTATTGTGTGCATTCGCAGGACTGGAGGCATCGAGTGATGTTTGTTCTGAATCTTATCTCAAACCACACGCCGATCCATTAATATAGCATTGGGGTTTGCATGTTTGCGCGTTGTGTATGGTCATCGCTCTGCAACTATAACACATAATCCCACAGATACGTACACAGCGAATTAAAGTTTTAAATCCACAGCACTTTTTTTTATGATGGAGTAAATTAAGTGCAACAGTGCCATCTGTTTACAAACCATATGACTTGTATCGGATTTCACTGACAAATGGGTATGTACTCCCAGTGACCGGGCAGAAATTGGCAAAGCAAATTGAAAACCGGTAATCCTGCAATCGGATGGAAGATCCGCGATTTTGTAACTCGCTGTGAACCAGTTGCATCACAGCAATAAATAGGGGATGTAGTAACATCTCTTCGGCTTTCAGTCGCCCGTCCTGTTGTGGATCTTTCAGTTGAAAACAGCTCAGTTTCTTGTGCGAGTCGCTCTCTCTGTGTGTGTGTGTGTGTGTGTGGTGTGTGAGTGAGAGTGAGCGCTGCTGTGGTTTGGCTCCACTTTGTCACCATTCGGTGCAATCGCTCCTTTTTTTTTGCTCCGGTGTTCACACTATTTTAGCGGTAAACGTTTCTTACCAACTCTGGTGACCGGGGGTGAAGCCAATTGAAGGCACGAATCCCCGAACCCCGGTCCTGCAATCTTTTGACGCACGACACTGTATCTGTAAACGGGGACAGTGTTAATCTGCAGTGGTTATTGGAGATAAAACGACAAAACGACACTGCTCTCACCTCGGATCGTCCATTCCAAAGATATCCCACCTGAGGAATACTTATGTCATTTCTTTTTCGCCACGTTTGCGGGTTTGAGTGGAAGCTGCGGTGGGAATAAGCAGAACTTTTTTTTTAATGTAATAATAACGTAATAACAGTAATAAAAAAAAAGCAGCCCCCGGTATAAACGAGACGTAACGACGAGGAGGGGGAGGGGGGGGTGGTGCAGGATTTTAAAGCATTTGCTTTAATATCCGAGCGAAGTCGCACGAGAGGTCCCGGTGCTGTGGTGGGGAGGGGGTGGGGGGGGGGGTGTAAGTGAGGGTGTAACAGGTTGGGAGCCCAGAGCGGGGGCCGGAGCTGCAGTTGTGTCCTGAGCGCTCTGCGGCTCTGCTGCCAACACAGGGACTCACAGTCAGAGCAGCGCCTGAACTCACTCCGGGATCCTCCTCTGCATCCCAACCAAATCACAAAGGGGCTTTCTGCAGATCTGGATCTCTCTCTCTCACTCCCTCTCTCTCCTCCTCCTCCTCCCTTCAAGTTTGAAAGCAAACCATTAAAAAACACTGCATCGCTCCCCACTCCCCACTCCCCCCCACCCCCCCAACACACACACACACACACTTTTTTTTTCTTTTTTCAGAGTATTTCCGGTGACGGGTTTTGGGGCGTCTGGCGACGGCGGATTGAAACTACAGTCAGAGCACAGAGAGAGAGAGAGAGAGAGGAAAGCCAGAGGAGGAGAAGAGAGCGAGAGAGACAGAAAGAGACAGAGAGAGAGAGAGGGAGAGAGGAGAGGGAGGGAGGAGATGACTGGGGAATGATATCAACAGGCTGCAGCTGAACCAGCTCCACATCAAATGCACTGCTCCCGGGGAGCTCCGGCTTTCCCCTGACAGTGCCCGGCGGCGGCAGAGAGCGGATCGCGGCTTTTGTTTTGCAAAAAAAAAATCCAAACATTTTTTTAAAAAAAAACAATTTTTTTTCTCTGTGCGTGTGCGCGTGTGTGTGTGTGTGCGTGTGCGTGTGTGCACCAGAGGGGCGGGAAGTTTGCAAGTGAGATCTCTCTCGCACTCCGGGGAGCCAGATGTCAGCCGCCGCCAGCAACTCGTCTCCTCCCGCGTCGCAGAAGCCGCCGCCGCCGCCGACACCGCCTGTGCCGCCGCCTGTGCAGCAACAGCAGCCGCCGCCGCCGCCAACACCGCCGCCTGTGCAGCCGCCTGTGCCTGTGCCGCCTCCCTGCTCTCCCAGCCCGTCGCCCTCGCCGCCCTGCACCGCCCTGCTCTCCGGCCGCCTCTCCAACGGCAGCCTGAGCGCCCCCAGTCCCACCAACTCCCGGGGATCCTTCAACGGCGTCTCCTTCCTACTCCAGATCGGCCTCACAAGGGAACCGGTTACCATCGAGGCTCAAGACATCTCCCTCTCCGCCGTCAAAGACCTCGTTTGCTCCATCGTGGACCAAAAGGTACTTTTTTTGTATGTGTGTGTGTGTGTGTGTGTTGTTGTTTTTATTATTTTGTTTGTTGGGGGGGGTTTAACCCCCCAAAAAAAGTTGTGCACAATTCAGTCTCTTCTGATCAATGGATTGCTGTTGGGAGTCTTCTTCTTTTTTTTTTTAATTTCGCACCTCTTTGCAGAAAACATTTTATATGTGTATTTTTTTTCCCCCCTAAAAAAAGTGACCCCCCGATCCGCAAACTTTCAAGAACTATTTCGATCACTGAGGTGAGTTTCTTTTTTTTTGAAAAAAAGAGAGAGACACTCTTCGCTTCCACATGGATTGCTCACAGGAGGAGCCTCTGGTCTCAGCTCTTAACGTATCTGATTTTTTTTTGGGGGTACAACAAAATAGCTTCGATGTAAGAAGGCGATCAGTCGCAGATTGATTAGCAATTGGGCCATTTTTTTCCCCTAATAGTCTCTCGTGTGCAGTTCAAGTTGTGAAAGCTGATGTGCTCGACCCAACCCGCAAAGTGATGTGGACACAGATGTCCTCACCTTTAGAAGCGTTGCAATGTCGTCTGTTCCTCACAGTCCCTCAAAGCCCAGTTTCACTGCTCAAAGATAAACGTGGTCTCTGGGCTGAGGGCACAGACAGACAGACAGATACACACAGACAGACAGACAGATACACACAGACAGACACAGACAGACACAGACAGACAGACAGACAGACAGACACACACACACACAGACAGACAGACAGACAGACACAGACAGACAGACAGACAGACAGACAGACAGACAGACACACACAGACAGACAGACAGACACACACAGACAGACACAGACAGACAGACACAGACAGACACACACAGACAGACAGACAGAGACAGACACACACAGACAGACACACAGACAGACACACAGACACACACACAGACAGACAGACACACACACAGACAGACACACAGACTTGGTGTGAACTGCTGCTGTCCGATCCGCCAAATCAAATCGCTCAGATGGCCGGAGATCGATCGGTTGCTGGTTTTTCGGTCCCACGTTACTTGTCCCCCACAAATCCCCGAATGCCCTCCTGGTATTATTATTAAATATTATTATTAAATATTCCGGTGGCAGAATATCTAAGCTGCTGATTGCTGACCCGTTCGCAGTGTTCATTAATCTGCCATTGGACACGCAGTTATGTTTCTCCGATATTATTTATGTCCCGACCTGGACAGAGGTTGTTTTCAAGTGAGTGCACTTTTTTTCAATGAGCTTTTTGAGTTTGTTTATCAATAGGGGGTATTGGAGGTATTTTCCTTAAGACTTCTGTTTGAAAACATGCGGAACCCTTTACATCTTTGCGCACTCTGGCAACTGCACAACAATCCTACACCATAACTTCTTTTTATTGGGTGAACTGCCTGGAGAAGTATGCGTAAGACTCCGGTGGTTATTATGTAACTGATTTAACTTGTTACTGTATCTGTGCTCAACACAGAGAATCCATTGTAATCATTCTCGGATCATTCGTGATACATCACTCTCTCCACTCATTGCTATTTCCCTTCCATTCAGGTCAGCAACTGCTTCAGTAAGTTTTGAGCAGCTCTGCATATAGAAATAAATTTAGGAATAATTTCACTGTATTAATATGCATTGTAACAGTAATCGTGGATCATCTCATCGTCGCCGCATTTGTAACATAAATTAGTAGATGGGAATATTCTCATTTTAGAACAACTGAGGCTACACTGTTGGTTCCTTTGGTACAGCCATTGCCTGGGGCATAATTTAGTGATACAGACCATGAAGGTCCCAGGTTCGATTTCCCTGAATTAGCTGATCTCATTTCGGCCTGCAGTAGGGGTGCCACAATTGTCCACAGCGCCCTTGGGCTAGGGAAGCAAGAATTAGCTTGGGTTTCAACAACTGATTCATCGACACTTCCATCGACACCCTGCTGAAAAGTGCACGTGTGTGAACATTGGGTGAGGGAAGTTTTGGTTATCATAAAATAATAATAATAATAAGTCGTTGCATTTGATACAACACCTTATCACGTCATTGAGCCGTGTCGAAGAACTTCACAGAATATACTGTTAAGTGAATTGACTAATTTGTGGACGAAATGCTGCAGCAAATTGCCGTGGATTGAATGACGAAATTATCATTTGCCACCCTCCCCCTCAAACAACTTGCAAACATTTGTACTGTCTCTAGTGCTTCCCTTGAAGAATGGCTACTTGGGCAAGGTCCTGGACAATAGCAGGGGCGAGGGAACGAAGAGGGCACCATTGAAAAGTTCAGAGGTCTTTACTTATTGTATGAAAATATACGAGGCATCAAAGCTTGGGTTAATAATTTAAGCAGCATGTGAGTGTGTTGCATTAGTTTTAGGAAAGTCTAGCATTCTTGACCCGAATGTGATAATAAGTTGTTTATTTTTAACTTTGCTTTCAGTAGTCATTTAAAGCTGGGAAATAGTTATCCTGGGGTTTGCTTGGTTGAGGGCTTTAGCTAAATTATAGTCATGCAGTGGTGCTCTGAGCTTATAGATTAATGATTTTCTGTGCAGACGTTTGTATTGTTCAGCCAGATTTCTGAGACATGCAGACACCTATCACTATTCTTAAGAATTCCCCAAACAGACTGATAATTTCACATATGTATGTCACCCACATGTAGAAATTTCCCTGCGTTTGTAATGGAATGAGCACTCTCTCTCAGGGATGCATCCTGCTTATCTAATTCCGGAGAGTATACAATTAATATACAGAATATACAGCCAATTCACTTTACATTATATTCTGTGAAGTGATTTGAGATGTCTCAAAGATGTGATAAAGCGCTATAATCAAATGCAAGGATTATTATATTATTAGGGGCAGGTGGGCAAAAGAGACTTGAGGACTCCAGGGTATACGTTGGGAGTTTTACTGGAGTTTAGCCGCATAACTTGTCATTGAGAGGACTATTTGGCAAGCTAACCGCTGCTTGTCCAGCAAAGACCACTCTACTTGTTACAGGGCTTTGGCTTGCAGGGTTAACAGGGCTGAGTGGCAAGAATCTTTGTCCCCAACGTCTGTCATCAGCAATGCTGTGGAGTCACTTGGTCTGCCTCGCTCAGAATCTAGATGACCAAGACTGCCACAGAGGATTTACTCGATTCCAACCGGTTGCATTGAGTTAATCTTTTTGTTTGCAATTTGAAGTTCAATTGCTGAGAACAACCGCCAAATGAACCTGACCTGTTTTTACATATGCATGAATGAAATACAGTATCATCAAATTTTCACCCACTTATTCAGGTGGGATGAGTAAAGTTTCAGCCTGACTGAAAGTTTGCATTTTCCCATTGAGACAATTCAGACACACTTATCTGTTTCGCCTACAGCTTCCTGGAAATTTAAATAAACTATTTTTTCAGAGTAATTGTGAAAAGATAGTTTTGAGCACATGTGACTTATGTAAATAGTGCAGGTCGAGCAGCAGATATGATAAGATGATTCAAATATATTTTGACTCATAAAATGTTTAGTGTACAGAAGGAGGCCCATTTGCTTCATTGTGTCTGTTGATGCTAGCTCACCCACTGGAGCTATGTACTTTGATCTCTTTTTTCACACTATTTAATATTTTTCTTTGAGTATTTAATAGTTTCCATGTTAGATGCTGTTATTGAGTTATCTTCAATAGCCATTGGTAGTAATGTATACCATATTATACCTATGTGTGTGGGGAAAAAAAACCCTCCAACTGCTCTTTTATTACTTAAGGTGATTATACTCGATTTGTTTTTATCTCATCGTGGCGATTCTATTAAAGGTTGCTGTTTCCCCCCAGCAGAAAATCCCTAAATGGAGACATATTAACTGCAGAGTAAAGCATTTTAATTTGCAATTGTCTCATCTGCTCACCTGAAGATTCTGACCATCCTGGGGTACAGTTTTACCAAGTGATTGACTGCGCATCTGTACTGGACATTGAAAGTTGGCAGGCTGTACTGAATCATTTCACATAGGATCCTTGGAGTAATTAGGAAGACGTTTGAACCCATTTAATTGGAATGGATTTGAACTGAGGTCTTCGACATGAAGGGTGAAAGTGCACCTCTAATCTGCCCAGTGTAGTTCTCCTCACTGATTTTACATTTTACAATTGCATCTGACTGACTTTCTAGTAGATATGGTACTCAATTATTTAGCTCTAAAGGTTTGGCTCCAAAGCGAATGCCCTCACTGCTCTCCAGTGGGCCAGCTAAAACTTCTGTTTTTAAAATTCACTTTTACTGCTTTTTAAGGGTGTTGACACCACCAACTCCTGGTTGTTATATCATAATAATCCTTGCATTTGATAGAGCGCCTTATCATTGTCGGTGAGATGTCTCAAAGTGCTTCACACTTATACTTTAATGTGGTGTGACTGTGGGTATTTGTGGGTGAATGTTTCAGCCAGTTGTATGCACAGCAATGTCCCACAAACAGCTGTGGAATGAGTGATCAATTTTATTTGGGGGATTGTTGGCCGGGACACTGGGAAAAACTCCCCTCTCTTTTTGAATAGTGCTATGGGATATTTAACCTCCAGCTGGATAGGGACCGTGGTTTAACGTTTCTTTCGAAGCACGGTAACACTGACAACACAGCACACCTCTAGCACTGCATTGGATAATCAGCATAGATCATTTAGGTTTCAAGTCCCGACATAGGGCTTGAACCCACAACCTTCTGACTTAGAGGTGTAAGTGCTACCAACTGGGGCAGGCTGACATGCCAAACATCACATACACCAATGCTTCTATAATTGGGTAAGCTGTAATTGGGTGAGCTGTAAAGCAATGAAAATGCCATTTCAACAATGGAGATTGCCATTTCTTTTTATCAATACATCCTAGTGGTGTGGCTTTCCAATTGCTGCTCTCCACAGACTTCCTCCAAATATTAAAAAGGTTTAGCAGATTGAAAAACAAACTTCTGAAGTTATAAAAAAAGGTGCATGTAAGTGGAATCTTCCCCC